CCTGCCACTGTCAGACTCTACAACACCTGATCAATGTTGTAGTTTCTGTTTTCAAATTACCACCATAGCTTTTACCACTCACCATAGTTTTAATATCTATATTTATTTTTTTTTTTCACTCAAATGCTGCTGTGACAAGTCAATTTTCTCATAGTGGGATTAATAAAGTAATCTAACTAACTAATGTGCTATGTGTTTGAAAGTTCCCTTTTTTAGTTCACCAGAAAAGTTAGGCGAAAGCCTTGGATTGTGTCAAATTTGTGTCTGAAATGTGATAAGGTAACATTAAGACATACCTGTAAAGAGATCTACCTCCAATAGTTGCCAGGTTCGAAAAAACACTCAGATCTGTCATGTTTTCAGGCCAAGACTGGATGTTGAGATAACCTAAAGAAATATCAGACAGAAGTACATGTGCTAATTAATGAACAGATTTGAAGTTATCCACTGTTCTTTTTTGTGGTAATTACCACAAATTGTAAGTTGTTTTTTTCGTAAAAAATTGTGAAAAGGAGTTTAATGAAAAGGAATCTAGGGTGTATTTGATGAAGGAACATAAGAATCATGAGCAAGGGAATAAAAAGAATCTCTTTGTTGCTTTCATTAAAGAAAAAAAAAAAGCACTGCAACTTTTGGTCATGCACTTGCACTGCATTTGTGAAGTTCAAGCAAGAACACATTCTTTGCAGGAAATGTGCTCAGAGAAGACAATATACGCTAATTAAAAGAATGGATTTAATATTCTGCACAATCTGTCCAGTTGCACTTGCCTTTAATGACAGATTATATCAAATCAGGATCTGTGGAAATGACATTAAAAGGGATAGAGCAGGAAATGGCTGGGATAGAATGGCCATTGCTCTTTCTTATTGCCTGGGTTTTCATTATGAAAATGCAGTTTCACTCCATTAGCTGTTTGGCTCAACTGCAAGTCGCAGTTTAATATGACAAAAGGGTTTGTATGCGAGGTATTGCTCATCCCTTAAGGCCTCTAATAGTTAATGAATAAATACACTCACAAGCATGCGCACACACACACACACAATGGCACATACTGTAAGCACGTATAACTATCACACACAAACACACACATCAAAATAATATTTTAGAGTTCACCAACAAAAATCTGCTTTCTACTTTCTTCTTAAAGCTTTCTTTTACTACCTCAGTGGCCACATATTCCACACACACATACCACACAATAATAATGTTTTGTTCAGTCAGGTTATCAAAGGTGACTCCAGCGAAACAGTCTCACCTGTGATCTCTTTCACAGTGCGGAACACATTAAGACGCTCTGGGTCCATAGGTCCAATACCATGATACATGTCCCTGAAGAGAAAACACAAAGTAGACACACACAGAAAAGTGAACACTATCATCAAAAGTAACATACAAATATTGTTAGTATAGTATAACCTTATTTATAAAACAGTTCTTAAAGTACAAACACTGTGAACCTGAAGGCACCATGAAGAAAATATGTTCTTCATGTCAAAGTCAGAACAGTCGTTTCCTCTAATGTGCTGTGTAACATTCATAGTTAAATATCATTCTTTTCGCAGAGCTTCGGGGCACTTTGACAGCGGTTTTTGATTGAATAGAGTACATTTCTCATTGACCTTCCCAAACCAGAACTCTCTGACCCAATAGTATAGGAATGGAGAACCGTTTGTTAACAGGCCTACCTCTTTAGGTTTCATGCTCCTCTATTTCAAGCAATTAAAATTCCAGTCCAGTGCAATATTGACACTCGTATCCGACTGCTGTTGCTTTGCGTGGACAGTGTGCATGTTGTATTTCAATAACGGTGTTTCAAGGTGCAATGCTACACATTGCAATGTAGTCATTTAAAGCTGTTCCAATTCATTTTTTTATATGAACATTGAAATAAATAACTATATGAAGTGTTAAAGGGATTGCCTATAAACATTCAACAAACCTCCAAAAAGACAATAGGGGCCTGTATGCAGGATTTGGGTTCAGCAAGGTAATGTCAGGATCTGCTCTGTCAATGCCGCTGCTGCCCTGCATCAATAATGCCCACCACCCCAGCATCCACCTGCAGGCTCCAGCTAGGGGGCTCATCACTCCCCAATATCTAAAACATATCTATAAACATATCTGCGTGGAGTAATGAGGTCAGAGTCTAGATGCCAAAATCTAACTATACTGCTGTAATAAACATTTCAAACATGAGTTGTCTGACTGAAATTCAGTTAATGTTGAAAAGCGGACACACAGCCAATGCAGCTGAAAGGCTAAAATTATCATACACACCGGAAGAATACATCCAAGCAACACATTATTTTAATAAAATACACAACTGTAATTATAGTCAGATCTACTCTAATGATAGGAAAGTCATATTATAAGCCTAATAATTTATGCATTCACACAGTTTGTGATTTTATTGCCAGCTATTTTTTCCCCAGCTTTCGACAGCTGCAACTGTTGCTTTAGCCTGCATTATATGTAAAACTTCTTCGTGTTTGTCTAAATATACTTTGCTCTTCACTTGTCCATGTTTGTGATCTGCAAACACCACCCCGTTTATGTGAATGCACTCATAGCTTGATCAGGAAACCCTGGGTTGACTTACCGCTAGATCTGGGATGTTAGGGTTAGCGAAGCCAGATAACTAAAAGATATCCCGGGTATTTTGAACTTGCTTCGTGTGTCCATGAGTTTGTCTGACATAGGGTTATGTAGAGAAAAACACCATCTGAAGGCATTGTGTGTGTGAGGTTTCAAGCTGCCACTTACCCTTTAATACCAGTAATGAGGAACACGAGGTTGCCATTGATTTTGGTGCAGTTGACAAATTTTTCAATGTTGCTGGCATCCACTGTTTGAGCTGTTTGCAGGCTGCCCGTCCCAATGCCATCACACACTGGTAAAACAAATGCAAACACACATATCATCATAATTAAAAATAATGAACGTTTATGTTGCTTTAGGTATGCATTACCCACTGTAGTATATATCCAAAGTGACTTTGTATAGCAGAGACCTCGTTTTGAGAAACTACTATTAGCTATTTGTCACTTTAATTCTTTCTACTCTTTTATGAAAATATACCCTTTCATTTGGTGCATAGGCAAGGCCACGGCCCCTCTGCATGCATTGGAATTCTTTTGATGAAAGCATGGGCCAATCCACAGCCAATTCCTCCCTATAATGAATTCATTACATCTGCATTAATTACACTTGCGGTCTAGTGTGAGCCAAGTATTTCTGACAGAGGCGGAGGGGATGATGAATAAGGCTTGCATTAAGTGGTGTAACCAGTTTTTGATAGTGATTTATACCAGCCAATTCCATATCTGAAATGTTAATTTGTTATCATTTCCCACAGTTCCTTGGGCTATCCCTCATTAACCCCTCCCTGCTGCGTGACGATATAATCAAGAGATTAGCCAATCAATGGATGCCAAAGCCCATACATAGAGCCTGAAGGAAAACACTATTGTCTTCCCTCGGAAGAGAAAGGGCAGATCAGTTACCTTTGTGAGAACAATATGATGAAGGGGCTAATCCTCTGTATTGAACTGAGGTAATGCTGTTTAATTTCACATCAGACATTGCAGGCATTTAACCAACACTCTTGCACAAAGTAAGTTGTAATTACAGGTACGAGCAGTTTCTCGTTATGGGACCATTTCATGTTAATTAACACGTCGACTGTTGTGGGGATCAAACATGTGACCTTCCGTTTGTGCCATATTTGTCATATTTATCCTCCAATACATAATGAGTATATAGTGGAAAATCACAGCAGTAATATGAAAATGGGGCACAATAAGTAGCAGCAAGTTCAACCCTTTGAATAAATGTATAAATACATGAATAACATGCAAAAAGAAGATTTTGTTTTTAAATAGAATTCTTAGTGATGGTGTAACTAATGTTTTTACTGTGAAAAAATATGGCCCTACTTTCCACTTGAAAAAACACAGGGTACAGAGGGTATTTCAACCTTAATAATCAGCATAAATTGAACTAATTTACCTTTCATTAATGAACCTTAAAAAGAGTTAGCTAGGAAGTGGAGCTTAAACTGACCTGTTCACTACTTTGGGGAGTAAAAAAATAAAAATATCAGCTGTAAGTATATTTAGTGTAATATAAAAGCTAAGCTGGCTCCCGTAAAACTACATTTCATAAGATTTCCTATAAAGCTTTTAAAGTAATTCTTGTGGGCTATTGTTAATCCAGTATCATCACTGTTAGCATAGAGCTATTCGATTATCTGCATAAGCCCTTGTGCATACAGTAAATGCAGTGCAGTGGGCCAGGAAGTGGGGGAAGCAGGGGAAATGGGTATCATTATAAAACCTGATTTTCCATTTTCCGTATAGCTTCCATATTACATATTGAATTGTTCTACTGGCCTCAGCATCACTTGCACTTTGTTCTCCATGCATCGTTCCTAGTTGAATGGAAATTGGAAAAAATTGAGCCAGTCATGGCAGTTAAGAGTCACTCAAAGTGTCAAATTATGAAACTTATAGTGCAGCCATCAAACCAAACAATATGATATATGAACACCAAAACATTGATGTGTCACTTTTCACATATGCAAGTAAAAAACATGCTTTTAAATATTTCATAGAATTATACATTTTTTTAATCCAATCAAGTTATCCCGTGGTTCAAATAGGCCTGCTGTTGTGACTACCAACAGCTGTTTCCACTGGTTTAAAAATAGCCGACCAATCGGAGCTTCGTAGGCAGGATTATGAAGATGGAAGTCATCCTTGTACATATCTAGCTATCCAGCCACATCCATGAAAAAGAGCAACAGAAAAATGCCCATAATAGTCTATAAGCATTGCTGAGGTTGACACAAGCAGGAATTTTTCACAGGGGTGGCCAGATGCCCCATCACTGAATATCATGGGGTGGCAGGAGTGTGACGCAGTGACGGACAGTCAAAAGTGGGTGGGTGGCTATACATTCGTTATTTTCTTTCACATTACCTATTATGAAAAATAGAAAAAGGAGTAGTATTTCTTGATGACATCCCATGGTTTACCTTTAGGACAGATGTCGGTACAGGGGATGCACATTTTGATGCGGTTCTCCTCCACTTCCATCTTGTTGCTGGGACACGCTCTGACACAGGAGCTGTGGTCCACCACGAAATTATCTGACAGTAACACAGAAAGGTTAGTGCTAGTTGGCTTTTGAGTCAGTTGTTTCATAGTAGAGAGGCTGTGATGATAAGTGGTACCACACACCTTTTCTTTAATGATTTTACCACATAAATCATCAAAATCGAAGTGTAGCATTAACTCATAGAACAATTTCCTAGAAGGACCCTTCTAATGGCGAGAAATTGATTGTATTTTAATCACGTTTGTATAATGATCAAAACTAATGGTCTAGGGCTATATTGCTCAGCAAAAGTAATGAATCAAATTAGTACTTGGTTGCGGCAGTGGAGAAGTGCGACTGGTGTGTGCTCATTTGATGATCAGTGGAACTTGAATATGCAATCTGTTGATGTAGCTTGACTTTTAATGTATGCTCCCTAAATGACTGCTGCACTCAGACTCCATATCCATGAAAGTAAGAGCAAAGATTTGCTTCCTTTTCAGCTGCCAGAAGCCAAAACAGATGGTGTAGAAACTAGTTGATTGAGATACACAATATATTTATGTTTGAGTAATTTATCTTGACTTGAAATAATTGTCTGGAGTCTTATTTCATGATAGATATAGAGGATAAATGCTTCTTCAATTGACACCAGTTCACAGACTATAAAACTTAATTATGAGCATCATAATGAGAATCTATGTTCTGGCAATAATGTTACAGTAACAATATCTACTTGCAGGATGTGCGTGCAGCAAAGCATTTTGTTTGTTTACGACAATTTAAAGCACACTTACGTGGACATTTCTTGACACAAAAGGCTCCGTAGGTGTACTTGGCTCTGGGGTTGTGCTCTAACTGAAAAGACGTGGGGTTGTACACGAACGGCTGTGGGCACTGGGTCACACATGCTCCGCTGTCGTTGAAATTGGTGCAAGCCTGCAGAAAGCACATAACCACAGTCAGCTGAAGGCAGAGGATACAAGCCAGACTTCCCATGGGGTTGCATGGAGTGAAACATCAGGCGAGGGGAGGCGTTGGGATTTTCTCACATAAGTCATTGTGAGTTAAAGTGTATTACAGCAGCATTTCATTTTTACGTGGGATAACATGTGGATCGCAACTGCCCCTTGTCTCTTTGAACGCCAAATGGGAGAGAAATTGGAGCCATTGATCAACAGCCATGATGTAAATGGTGAAATGTTTTCCCATAAACCTCTTAAGTGTTTTGTCGTCTGTGGCCACAGGCTGAAACGGCAGTAATTGAATTGGATGAGCCTTTCTGTGAATTACAACTACAATATCATCCCCTGTCATTGTGCGCACGTGCGTCGTGCACCAGTTTACGAAATAGGAAGAACTTGAGGTGATAAAAGGGATACTAATTGGAACACTGAATCACCAATTTGTTCTTTGAAGAGCGTCGCTGCATCAGACTTTTACAGCCCCGTAAAATGACAAACAATTTATCAGCTGGTAAACAAAGTGTATCATTTTTGGACGGGGAGGATGACAAACAGATGTTGCACAAAAGACACGTGTAATGGAGGATGATGAGGGTCTTTGGGTGTTGTGTGTGTGTGTGTGTGTGTGTCCTGGAAATGAGAGAGAAAGGAAGCAAAAGAACTAAAACTTAAACTAAAAGAAAGTTAAGAAGGAGGAAGGAGATATAAAGACGTCGACAGCTTGTGTGTTTGTGTGCACTCTGACGTACAAAGCAGTCTGTGTCCTTGGGGCCCGAGCAGCCGCCGGCGCACTCGCGATGGCAGCAGTCGCTGACGTAAGGCCCGAAGCATCGACCGTCACACTGCTCTGCACACACCGTCTTTGTCACTGCCGAGGAAGTGAAAAGAGAGAATTTTAAAGGTCCAACACACACATACATGCACAGTCACCCTCATAAAAAGAGACAATACCACCACCCTCAACCTTACACAAACATTGTCTGATATGGAATTCAAGCAGAAACAAATTAGGGGCTTCAGCAACCTAAAGGTCGGGGGAAGTGGGTTTGTAACCACAAGGTCGCTTGTGGTTTTGTCCATACGGACACGAAGCGCTGTCTCCTCTCTCAACAACGACTCTAGAGGAGCCCCTCTTATCCTCCAGCCGCACCAGATTTAGCTTAGTGACTAGCAGCTGATAATTGTGGTTGTGCTTGGCAGATTCCAGGTACTAGTCTAAAGTGACAGGTTGCTGGAGTGAGCTCAGCTGGTTTCCTCTACATAAATAAAGTTGGAAAAAAAAAGTTCCATGGCGCTGGACTGCTCTGATTCACCATATCTGTGTTTATACCATGGGTGTTTTCAGCCATGGTATAAACCATCAGCCAAGTGGACCAATCAGCCAAAGACACCTTCCAACTGTGCTGATAATTCCCCAAAAGCCTGGCTTTATTCGTTGCCATGCCAACTCGTGTGTGTGGTAACCAGGGAGCTGCCTTATTGTCTTTCCTGCGTTTTTCTACTTTAAAGGAAGCTGTGCTAGTCAGCGTTATTAGTACAGCACCAATACTTGGATGTTGCTCCTACCTATTGCATCAAAGTTGCTCTAATGCTTGCGCTAAAGAACAGCCTCCTACACATTATTGGTACAGTAGGACATATACCAGCCAGCGAGTCAGCAGGAGCTCCAAGTTGAGGCATTAAAAACTGCTGTGCTCACTCTCTGCTGTGCTGGGAACATAATGATGTACCAGTGAAAAAAGGGCCTGTAGTCTATTAGTCTGTGAAAAACAGGCCAGTCCCTCTCTAGATCCTGATGGCATGAATAGAACAGTAGAACTGTAATTGTACAGAAAACTAATATTTCTTCCTCTTTTGTCTTTGCACTGTTTCTCTCCATTAGTTTATTTCCATTTCATCTGACTCTTCTCACTAGAGCTACAAAAAATACCGTAACACATGGATGTGACCTTAATATTGGTCTTTGACCTCAATAAAATAAGATAAACAGCTAAAAACAGATGGGTGCCCAAGTACTCACACAACCAAAAAAATATATATAAATCTGTGTCTCAACAGATTATAGCAGATTATAGATTATTTTAAAGCAGATCATTCAGTCTAGTGAGTCACCCTGCCATAAACTAATCACAGAATAACATTATTTCATCCTGGACTTCAGTGTTGTGGTCCACTGATTTACTAAATAGGTTATGCTAATTATTTGGGACTTAAGTAAATAGTTCATCATTTGGGGAAATACACTTTTTCTGACAGGGCCTGTTAGTCTTGTGTGTGCTCAAAAAGTTTGAGTAAGGATTCAGTTAGCCTAGTTTGGCATAAGGCTGAAGACAGGGGAAAAGAGCTATGCAAGCTCTATCGAAGGTAAAGGCCCAGTGTGTAACATTAAGGAGGCTCTATTAGCAGAAATGAAATATAATATTCATAGGTATGTTTTTATTAGTCTATAATCACCCGAATATAGGAATTGTATTTCTGTTACCTTAGAATGAGATTCAAGATTCAAGATTCAAGAGGTTTATTATCATATGTACAGTATAAACACAAGGCTAGTACGCACAATGAAATCTTACCTTTGCCCGACCCCATGAGGTAACACACACATGTAGAACAGTAAGAACATAATAATTAAAACAAATATATAAAAAATGTTTCAATATAAACATTTTCAATATAAAATATAACTAAATATAACATATAACTTACAACTTAAAACTCAAAGCCATTTTATGTTGAACCACCATGCTTCTACAGTAGCCCAGAATGGACAAACCAAACACTGACTGTAGATAGGCCCTTTTGCAGCCACCACCAGCACTTGGTGGCTTTCTAGGGTAACTGTAGTGTGCATGTGCATACTCACAGGTTTGACACTGGTCTTCCTGATGGCCCCAGCAGCGTCCATTACATGAGCGATGACAGCGTCTGCCTGCAGAACACACACAAAAACACACACACACGCACACACACATCAGACAACTCATCAGCAAACTTCGGATGTAGTTTAGACACAAACACGCATCAAGACCCAGCCCCCTTACACACCATACGCCCAATCATCCGCTCACGCACACCCTTAAAACTTCACCAACTACTGACAGTGACATATCTGTTGAGTCTCCTTCGCTCATACGACAATAGACCCAGAGCCACTGCGGCGACTTGTGGCCTGTGGAGAACATAAGCATGAAAGACAGGCTTCTACTCCCTTCCGTCAGGCACTCGCACAGGCAAAGTGGGACCTGACAGAGAACTCGCAGCCTTCATTCTGCCAGTGCCCCATCATCAAGACTTAATTGACTATGGGTTAATTACAGAGTAAGTGGAACAGTGCAGCAGATTGTCACCCAGCCCCTTCAACCACTCCCACTGTGGGGTTGTTAATGTTAAATACTAACTACGGCTTGGCAAAGGCCCCCAATTTGGCAACCTCAACTCCCACACGCTCTCTTGTCATTTTTTGGCCCACCTCCTCTGTTCTTTGTTGCTTTTCATCCTCCTCCTCTGTCAGTGCCATCTAATCAACAAAATAGCAATGTTTTACACATATTGTACTTAAAAGCTTCTTCTCAAGCCTTTATTTCAGAGTAACCCGCCTTGCACAATGTCTAACTCCCTGCTGATGTTGTGAGTCTATGCAGATTTTGTTCTGCTCAGACTGTAAGCAAAGAAAGGTCATCATGCCTTTCCATCAAAGAATCTCTCAACACATTCCCCATTGTCCATGTCTTTGCTCGCTATTCGGTGACTATTGTTCAACCTGACATGTTTTGATACTGAGCGCCCAAAGAAACTTCTACGGTCTCCCTGTCGCTCCCTTAGAAAGAGCAAGAGGCTCATCCATAAATGTGCAGAAAAGTTTGAGAGAGACTGCCTTTAACAGCGAGTTCTTCGGACACAGAATGTCCGCCGGATAGCGACGCCTGTTATGTCCGAAGCTGAGGGAGCTGAGGGACTGCAGGGACCACAGAGGGGGGCGGGCACCAGGGGAAGTAGGCAGTTTCAAACCAGCTGTCAGATTCACTAAGATTTAAAAAGAGCACAGCAGCTCCATGGGCCTCGCTGCAGAGCCGCTACCATACCACTACAATGGAAAGGTTCACACGTTGATCTAACACTATGTGATTTTGCTTCCAAATGACTGCCAGGCAAACAGAATAAATAAAAAGGGATAGGGCATGACTGCTGCTGGTAGGGGGAGTGTGTGTTTGTGTGTACTTCTACAGTATGTTGGCATGTGGTTTGCCCTCAAAACAATTTTTGATTTTCATCCAAAGTTACTGGTTCCACTGGTTTCCACCCACATGCGGTACTCACATCCGAGGTTGCTGTTGTTGGATGGTACCACCAGCAGTTCAGCCTGGGGGTTCTTGATAATGTCACGCCAATGAATGGTGTCCGCATGGCACAAGAATTTGTTCTGGTCAACGTAGACACCCCCATTCAGTATCTCTGCACGGGGAGAAAAAAAAAGATGGAAGGAGAGAGAGATGAGCTCATAGACGTGGATATATAGTACATGTACATGATGGCAGAAAATCAATACTTCAAGGTTAACTCCAATGCTTTGCCTCAAAGTGCCGGACTGCGTAAGGTGTTCCCTGAAGTGCATCTGAGCATGAAGATAAATGCTATTGACAAATGCACACAGTAATTCAATGCCAGGTCCAAAGACAATGATGTTTCATACCAAACAAGTAAATGGATTTTGCTATGTAAACAAAACAGCCTCACTTTTGAAAAGAAGTCAAAACTGTACACTGGTATCATTTCCTAATTATGCACTGAGTATTAAATCATTTCTTTTAGCTTGAGAGTTAATGAGTTTGAACGTCACTGGCAGGCACCAGATATTTTTTGTGTTGATTTAAATTGAAATAATAAACTGCAGTGGATACATAGCTTCCTCAAATCCTCATAGAAGGATACTCGCCATGATAAAATACGTAAAAAAAATAGCAGATGTGTTGACGTATTTACATCTTGCGACTCATTGATTTCGTGTTGTAGAGTAAAAAAAAAGAAAGAAAGGGTTTTGGAACGTGTTCAATATTTTATTGTTCCACTATTGTCTTCAATAGATCTCTTTTGGCTCACAAAAGGCCCAAATCATCTAATTGACTCAGAGAAAATGAGGGATCACAGCTCTCTTGACCTACTCTGCATCCCTCTATCAAAGTGAGAGCCGACGCACCAAAGACAAAGGCGGGCTCCACGTCCAGCATTTGCTTAATAGCAAAAATATGTTTCTTTTCAACGACCAGTGCCCTTAACAGATGCCTGCGCATGGAGTGTGATAATAAATTCTAATCCCTCTCCCTGTTACTAATCCAGGTTTTGGATATGGACACAGAATGAAATTATTTTGCAGTAATCTCCCCCTCCCAAGCCATGACCCGTGGCAAAAGAGAAACAACAGCCCACATCAGTGTCTCTTTCTCTCTGGGACACTGGCTGACTGTATTATTTAACCTAGTTGAGGGATTTAGATACAATCACCTTGCATATCTTTCTCCTTGAATATGAAGTACTGCCAGATTCCATGAAAGTACTTGTCATAATAAATGAAATTTAATATGAAAAAAGTAACAATGTGGTTCAGATCAGGACTGGATTAGCTAAAAGTAAAGAAGGTTATTATCTCCCCAGGCAGATTATTAACAGTGTATGAGTTATGCGTACAATTCAGCAGCTGAGAAGCACACGCAGGAAGCTAATCATTACCATCCGACACCCTGATTAAGGAAGTGGGCCTTGGTAGAGACGGGGACATTTATTCAAAGCCCTCTTAGAGGTGACATGGCGCTCCGTCTGCCCGCTGAATGGCCTACAGCGGCAGCTTCATGTAATCATGTTCCCGTCACAATGGACGATTTATTAGGGGGTGTTCTACATTCATGGGTGGCGGGTGAAAAAAGGGACAGGCTGTGCTTTATTCAAATATCATGTGGACCGCACTGACGGCACACTTTGATGTCATTTAAAAATACTAATGAAATAAGCAGCAATCCATTACCCACTCGACAGATTTCTGACATAACTGACAATATATTCAGAAAGCATATAATTAAAGTAACTACAGCAGATGTGTCAATATGTGTTTCCTTTAAACCACCGCTAGATTGTAATCTGGTTTCCCTTGAGTCACCTTGACACAATACAGGGCACCACCAACACTGCTCAAAAGATCCTCCAGCAGACAACAGACAAAGGTCAACTTGGAAAACACAGGAAATCTAGAGCACAAGGTGTACACACCCACAGTCTCACAAAGCCAGCAATTTTAATTTCATTCACTGGCCCTTTTTTTGGGGACAGGCGTCTTTTCAGCTCTTGATGATGGATAAGAGCTCAGCAATGAATTTTTTTTTCACTTCTTTGGGTTTAATGATAAAACTAGAGAAAACATTCTACACGGCAGATATTATTTCTCATATACAGATGCTGAGGATTTGTAGTAACTTGGTTTATAGTTTTGTTCAAAATGTGCAAATAAACAAATGAGGCTGATGGGAACGGCATTAGTGTTGCAGTCTTCTGACACTATTTTGCAATGGCACTGTCTGCTTTGAAATACAGGCAAGCCAGCAGTTTTTTCCACTTACACCAGAATGATACTGGATTCAGCCAGACGTTTCTCCAGTGCTAAAATAAAGTGTGGCGAAAGGTCTGGCTTTGCAAGACTACTGGATATATGACATCTTTGACCTATTGGTGGCGCTAGAGGAAAGGTCAGAAGATCACTGAAGTCGCAAGGATTCATCCTTTGGGCAACAAAGATAAATGTACCAAATTCTACAGCAGTTTATCTATCTAGTTTTCCGGTATTGTAGTGTAGCGGCAAATTGGCTATTAAAGTGCAGGCTTTCAACAAGTAAAAGTGAACTAGAGGGATATACACCTAAAACGAAAACCAACAACATTTTGTTGTGTTTTTCACAAAAGGATGGGTTACAAAAGTTTTTAGGATTTTCACCAAATCTCCAACTGATTGACATTAGTGTACGATTGGCACCAAGGAGGTGAGAAGCAATCAGACATTTAAGAGTCTTAACTTTAAAATAGCTTAACTTTTAAATTGCATTTAAAAGTCTTAACTTTGACAAACTGACAATGACAAAATAAGAAAGGATTTTTCATAACATTTTTGAAGTAATAATTTCTACACTTGAAGCCTTTCAGGTATGACAGATGTATTCCATTGTGCTATTTTATGTGGAGCGATCTTTCACTTCAACCAGCCCAGCACTGTCCCAAATGCTCTTTTGAGTGCCTGCGTCCAGATCCCCCCTGCTCGCTGCAAGACAAATTGCCACCTCTGCTGTCCATCTCGGCAAGGGTACTAACTCTTCCAGCGGGATGACAAGCCTGTATTGGGTGGTCATTCAATAACTTGCGACAGTCATGCACTAAGGCCCACCCCTCCTTCCGGCTCTTCTCTAGTAACCCCCCCCCCCAGTTCCATGCTTCGATCTTTCCATCAGGAGAGGGAGATC